AGGCAAGAGAAAAATATAAAAGGCGCCCAGATAGGAAATGAAGAAGTCGTGTTGGCTAGATGGAGGGGAGGGGAGGGATGAAGCAATTGGGGGGATCGTTTTATGAACTATATAGATGTCTAAACAACGTACTGTATACTCGAAAGTAATTCAAATAAATTAATCTAAAAAACAGGAGTAAAAAATGGTAACAACTACATTCCTATCAGCAAGTACCTCAAATAGAAAAGAATTAAGTGCTCTAAATAAAAGATAAAGTGGATGAATGGAAAGGAAATCAAGACCCCTAAATGTTGCCTATAAGAGACTCACTTCATATTAAAAGACAAACACAGAGTAAAAGGAAGGGGATGGAAAAAGATATTGCTTTGATGGACCTAGTAGCTATTTAAGTCACACAGAGAAAGATAAACATTATATGAGTTCACCTATATGTGAAGAAGGAACCAATATTTAAATGTGCAAATAATTTTTGACAAAAACATACAGTGGAGAAAGGAAAGTCCCTTCAATAAATGGTTCTGGTAAAACCGGAAAGCTACAGTTTTCCAGAACTGATAGTTTTCCAGTTTTACCAAAACCATTTATTGAAGAGACTTTCCTTTGACTGAAACTAGACTGTTGTCTATCACCACACACCAAAATGAAACTAGACTGTTGTCTATCACTACATACCAAAATTAATTCAAAATGGATTAAGGATCTGTATATAAGTCATGAAACAATAAATTCCATAGAAGAAAACATAGGAAGTAAACTCATGGACCTTGGACTTAAAGAGGATTTTATTAATTTGACCTCAAATGCAAAGGAAATAAAAGCAAAATTAACTGAATGGGACTACATAAAATTAAAAGCTTCTGCACAACAACAACAACAACAAAACGTCAACAAGGTATAGAGACAATCATCCAAATATGACAATATATTTGCAAGCTTCACCTCTGATTAGGGCCTATTATCCAAAATATACAATGAACTCACACAATTCAATAAATACAACAACAACAACAACAACAACAACAAAGAAACAATCCAATAAAAAAATGGGTAGAGGACGTGAACAGACACTAATCCCAAGAAGACATACAAATGGCTAACAAACATATGACAAGATGTTCAACATTGCTGGCTATTAGGAAAATGCAAATCAAAACCACAATGAGATACCATCTCACATCTGTTAGAATAGCTGTTATCAACAGGACAAGTAATAACAAGTGTTAGAGAGGATGTGGAGAAAAAGGAACCTTCATACACTGCTGGTGGGATTGTAAATTGGTACAGCCACTATGGAAAACAGTATGGAGGTTCCTCAAAAAACTAAGAATTGATCTTCCACATGATCCAGCAATCCCTCTACTGATTATTTACCCCAAAGAACTGAAAACCCATATCCAAAAAGATATTTTCACACCGATGTTTATAGCGGCATTATTCATGGTGGCCAGGACATGGATGCAACTGAAGTGTCCTACAACAGACGATTGGATAAAGAAGCTGTGGTACGTATATACAATGGAGTATCACTCGGCCAAAAGAAGGGATGAAATACTGCCATTTACAATAACATGGGTGGACCTTTAGATAATCATGCTAAGCAAAATAAGCCAGGCACAAAAAGTTGAAACCACATGATATCACTCATACGTGGGATATAAACCCAAAAGCAACAAACGAACAGGACAAAAAAAGAATGACTCATGAACATGGACAACAGACTAGTGGTTACCAGAGGAGGAAGAGGGAGTAGGTAGATGGAATAATAGGGGTCAAATATGTGGTGACAGAAAGAAATCAAACTATGGCCGGTAAACACACAATACGATATATATGCATGCCTTATTGTTATATTGTACACCTGAATCTTACTGGATTTTGTTAATCAACGTTACCACAATAAAAATAAAAATTTAAAAAAATTAAAAAATTAAAATAAATAAAAAATGGGCAGAGGAATTGAATAGACATTTATCCAAAGAAGATATACAGATGGCCAACGGACACATGAAAAGATTCTGAACATCACTAATAATCAGGGAAATACAAATCAAAACCACAATGAGATATCGCTTCATACCTGTCAGAATGGCTATTATAAAAAATTCAACAAATAACAAGTGTTAGCAAGTATGTGAAAAAAAGGGAACCCTCATGCACTGTTAGTGGGATTGTAAATTATTGCAGCCACTATGGAAAACAGTATGAAGGTTCTTTAAAAAATTAAAAATAGAACCATCTTATCACAAAGCAATTCTACTTCTGGGTATTTACCTTAAGAAAATGAAAACAATAGTATATAAAACAAAAGTATATATACTCCTCTATGTTCATTGCAGTACTGTTTACAACAGCCTAGATATAGATGAATAGATAAAGAAGATGTGGTACATATATACAATAGAGTATTACTCATTCATAAGAAGAAATGAAATCTTGCCATTTTTGACATCAATGTATGGACGTAAAGAGTATTATTATGTTAAGCGAAAAAGAAAAAAGTCAGATAGAGAAAGTCAAATATCTTATGATTTTACTTATGTGTAGAATATAAAAAACAAAACACATGTATGAACATAAAGAAACAGAAACAAATTCACAGATACAATGAACGAAGTGATGGTAGCCAGAGGGGAGGGAAGTGGAAGGCTGGGCTAAAAAGCAGAAGAGGATTAAGAAGTACAAACTTTCAGTTATAAAGTAACAAGGATATAATGTCCAATATAGGGAAGTCAATAACATCATAATGTATGGTGACAGATGATTAATAGACTTATTGTAGTGATCATTTTATAAGGTATATAAACGTTGAATCAACAAGTTGTACACCTGAAACTAATATAATATTATATGTCAAGTATAATTAAAATAACTTGTTAAAATTTTAAATAGAAATAAAAAGACCCACCTTAACTTTGTAATTTATGGTAAAATTATTATTTCCCCCTAAGATCAGAAATAAGGAAAGAATGTCTGCTCTTACCAATTCTATTCAACACTGAACTGGAGGGTCAAGCCAGTGCAACAAAGGCAAAAAAAAGAATTAAATGATATCCATAACAACAAAAAAAAGTAAAACTCCTTATTTGTAGATTACAAATAGAAAATTCTATGGAATCTACAGAAAGATGCTAGATGTAATAAATAAGTTTAATTAAATTGTGGGATACACGTTCAATATAAAAAACAATTAATTGTATTCCCATCTAATTTAAAAATGAAATTAAGAAATCAATTCCATTTATAATGGCATTGAAAACAAGGAAATAGAGAAAAATCTGACAAAAGATGTGTAAGACCTGTATACTGAAAATGATAAGGCATTGCTGAGAGAAATTAAGGAATACTTAAGTAAATGGAGAGAGATACCATGTTCACGGACTGGAAGACTCAATGAAATCCCAATAAAAAATCCCACAGGCTTTCTTGTAGAAAGTGAAAAGCTGATTTTAAAACTGATATGAAAATTCAAAGAACCTAGAAAAGGCAAAACAAATTTGAAAAAAACAAAAGCAGAGTTCAAGAATTTATACTACCTGAGTTCAAGACTTATAAAGGTACAGTGATCAAGACAGGGTGGAACGGGCATATAGACTAATAGATCAATGGAATAAAATAGAGTTTCCAGAAATATATCTTCGTATATATGATCAATTTATGTTCAACAAATATGCAAGGTAATTCAATGAAGAAAGCATAGTTATTTCCAATGATGATGCTAGAACAATGAGATATCTATACACAAAAAAGGACTTCAACTAAAACACATACCTATCACTACATACTAAAATGAACTCAAAGTGGATTATAAAGTTAAATGTAAAACTGAAAACTACAAAACCTTTAGGAAACATAAGAGAAAATCTTTGTGACTTGGGATTAGGCAAATATTCCTTAAATAAGACACCAAAACCAATTTAATTTATTAAAGAAAACATATATAAGTCCGACCATCAAAATTAAGAATTTCTGCTTTTAGGACACTGTTAAAGCGAATGAAAAGACAAACCATAGACTAGAAGAAAATATTTGCAAATAACATATATGATAAGGGCTTACCATCCAAAATATATAAAGACTCTCAAAACCCAATAAAAAAATGGGCCAAAGATTTAAACACACATTTTATCGAAGAGGATAGACAGATGTCAAATGAGTGCACGAAGAGATGCTAGACATTATCAGTTTTTAGGGTAATGCAATTCAAAACCACAATAAGTTACCACTATATACTTATGAGATATCCAAAATTAAAACAAGATTTACCATACCAAGCACTGGCAAAAATGAGAAGCGACTGAAACTTGCATATGCTGCTGGTGGAAATGTAAAAATTATATAACCACTTTGGAAAACAGTTTAATAGTGTCTTTAAAATGAGTTTAAAAGCACATACTATATAATCCAGTCATTACAGTCTACATATTTAACCATGAAAAATGAAAACATATGTGACAGAAACCAGAGTAAGTAGGGGTGGGGGAGGAGGAAGGCATTACAAAGAGGCACAGGAAAACTGTTAGGATGTTAGATAAGCTAATTATTTTGACTGTGATAATGGTTTAACAAGTATATACAAATGTTAAAATTTACCAAAGTATATATTTTAATATGTGAAGTTTATTGTATACCAATTATACTTCCATAAAGCTGTTTAAATCATGAATAAATTAAACACTACTTCTAGAGGCATTTTGATTAAAGACTACTACCAGAAGCATTTTGGTAGCTTGTGTAGGCCAAAGTCCTAAGCTTTCCTCTATCTGCTTCGTCATTTAAATTGATCTTGTGCCTAAGAGAATAGTGAGTAGCACATTGAGATCATCTAAATGACAGGCAGATAAAAAATGCCATTAATCGGCACATCTGGTAAATACTATGCAAACAAACATAATTATCATTTAAAATTTCTATAGGAAAAAAGTAATTAGCAAAAAAACAAAAATAATTTTTTTAGTTTTGTTTCAAGAAAATATAGTAAAATTTTTACTGATACTCACCTCTTTGGATAATCTTGTGAATACATCTCCTCCCCTGAGAAAATCCAAAATTAAATACAGCTTTCCTTCAGTCTGAAAGGCTAATTAGAAATTAGAGTGTAATACCAGAATAATCTTAAAAGCTTGAAAAGCTTAATATACTTTATATTAAATTTACTGGAATGACATTGGTTAATAAAATTATATAGATTTCAAGTATACATTTAATGTCATATGTATATTGTATTGTGTATTGACCATCCAAAGTTAAATTTCCTTAATATACTTTTAAATTAATATATATATGTTAAGAATTTTATCACTAAACTCTATACAATTAAGCATTCACTCACATGGTCCATTATTAGATAACATCTCAAAATTAAATCTGGTGGGGAAATAGCTATAAACCTCTTCATAGAACATAATCAATCTTCCATGTGGCTTTACACAGAAACCTCTAACACCCTCATTTTCCAGAATTATTGAGCATTGTGTCCTACTTCAATTGCCTGAACTCTTCCTCCCCATCTGTTGAAAATCTGCTAATTCTTTCAAGCTCAACCAACATGTCACCTCCTCTATTAAGCTTTCCTCTATTAAGGATTTCCTCTTTTTCACATTTCCTACAACATCCTTACCCTCTTCCCCATCAGCATTACTTGCTACTATTTTTCAGATCTCATTGTACTTTACTTATGTCTCTCTTATGGTACTTACTCCATTCGATTTGTATAATTAATTTGTTTATATGTCCGTATTTCATGTAGAAGAGAAATTTCTTGAGATCAAAGATTGTTTCAACTTTTGAGCTCATTGCATTTAATACAGTGTTTTGTGCACAAATGGTATTTATTGATTAAACTAATGACATCCTGGAGATTCAAGGAAGTCTTAAGATACTACTATTTTCATTTCATTAGAGTAACAAGGGAGTAAAAGAATATGGGTAGGGATTTCGCGAGGGTTTTTTTAATAGAGATAATTGGGTATATATTTTAATGTATTTAATGTATTATTTGTCAGCATTACTGAAGAATAAAATCAATAGCTCCTACTTTTTTAAATTTCAAAATTTGAAAGTGACATAGACTATATCAGTGATTTAATGATCACTGATATAGTCTACTGTCAATTTCAAATTTTGAAATTTAAAAAAGTAGGAGCTATTGATTATACGTATATATATACATATGTATATACATATATACATACATACACATATATATATCTTTGGATTTATATGTGCATATATGTATATATGTATACATATACATATATACATACATATATATACATACATATATATATATATCTTTGGATTTCCCAGGAAAGCCAAACTCCACAATATCATGCATACCTCAAATTAGCAATGAAAATGAAGCCATTATTCGAACTCAGAACTGTCTGACTACAAATTCATGTTTTTTTCCATAATACCTACTGCTTCTCACTAATATTCCTCTCCTCCCCAATATAAGAAAGAATAACTCAAATAGACTAATAAAACTTCATGGTCTTCTTAAACAGAACCAGGAAATAAGATGGATATGTTCATTATAAACGTATAAAAGGAGCACATCCAAACACCAAAGCATTTTGAACAAAATATCACAGAAGTTTATAGCCTAAGATCACTGGAAGTATAGCCTAGTATAGAAATACTACCACACAAGTAATCAAAAAACACTATCTTATTACCTTAGACAAGTTAATTAATAAATAGAGGAAATACAACTAAAAGCTGAATATTGAGTCTTATTTCAAATAAATACATTTCGTATAGTCAAATATATGAAATCGGTTTCAAGTATTTATTTCCTGTTATATTACTGTCTGAAAGGAAACCTTAATTATCTAACTCTATAAATTTAAAAAAGAGATTACATACCATAGTGCAATTTGACAATAAATGGGTGATTTACTTCTACCAAAATATCCCTCTCCATCTTTGTCCGAACTCTGTCTCGAACTAAAAATTACAGGTTAAAATATATTAGTATTATACATAATTTCAGAAGAGATTCAACCAAAAATTCATCAAACAAAAATATAAAATATAACTTTATAAGTGCCTACATTTGCAATCTAAATAGTCGTAAATAGTAATTACCATATTCTCAGAAAGCCAATAAATTAGATTTAGATCTAGAGATAGGTTAAAGTGACATAAACAGGTATTTGGCTAATATGCATTTATTATGTATTAGTTTATAGTAGTTTAAATGTGTTGACTTAAATTGAGCTCAGTGTTATTATCACAACCTAGAAGATGGTGTGTATAAGTATATGCAGCCAGTTGTGCATTCAATACATAATACCAATACAGATGAAACAGGAAAAAAAAAAGAAAAAAGAATATAGCTTAATAAGTTCATTTTAAGTAAATGAAATGTGTCACTTTTTATACCATTAAATTTTTATCAGAGTACACTCTCACTAAATTAGGACATATGCAAATATCACAACTAGAAATATCACTTACCAGCTAAAAAACAGTAACAATTACTAATTTTAAAAGAAAACTAAATCTATCCATTTTATACAAGAAATATACAACATATTTGTTAAAACAAGCTTTAACAAATTCTATTTTAATGAGCTTTCTAATTTTCTACCTTTTAAAGAAGCTTTTTTTAACACCTTCATTGCATAGAGTTGGCCAGCATCAGGGCCGGTCTTCTTTCTAACAAGAAAAACCTAATAAAGGAATTAAAGAAAAGTAAAACTCACATTTCAAGACTTTTTTTGCTATACACATTCATTAGCACACACATATGTCCTTGTATTTTCTTTAATTTCATTAAGATATGCCTTTCTCTATAAATTATACTTAGTTAATATTTTCTCACTTTCATTCATTTAGTAAATTACACTCATACATACTACTATAGAAGTTTTTTAAAAGAGACACAGTCATGAACTATGAGAAGTTTATGATATAAAAGATAACAACAAAAAACAATTTGAACTAAGAAAGCTCCTTTTAAGACCCACGATCCTTTTTGTTACCTTAATAAAGAGCAAACAAATGTGATGACCATTAATTGGATACCTTCTTTTCTACTTCATTATTGGTCCATTCTGGAAGTTACCAGGCATTTAAATTTCTAATAAAAAACAGGTGCACTTTTTTATCTGCCAGGTAAAAGAATGACGATGGCACATTATCTCAATGAAAGTTAAACTGTGAAGTTACCAAGCAAACTTAATTAATATCTCATATTATCAAACTAAGATTATGACTCATTAAAAGCTAAGATTTTTAATAGCCTCAGTTATGAAGATAAATATAGATCACAGTTTTATGAGGTATTTATTAGTAAATGACTGTTTTATTTAAAAAATATAATTAGTAAAACTTGTTCAACTGCCTCAAACTGCCATCCCCAACTCTAACAAGTTCTATTCAAGTGTTGCTTAAATTAAAAATGTGATCAAGTTAACTAATTTGCTCACATAAAATTGCAGATAGGAAAGCTGTTTTTTGTCTTACCTGTTTCCCAAGGTATTGCTAAAGACATTTTATTCGAGATCTTTATTTTTAATTTTATATTAGTTTCAGGTATACAGCACAGTGGTTAGGTGTTTATGTAATTTATGAAGTGATCTCCCCAAATACTCTAGGACCCATCTGTCATTATATACAGCCATTACAATATTATTGACTATATTCCCTAGGCTGTACTTAACATCCCCATGACTATTTTGTAACTACCAATTTGTACTTATTATAGCCATCACTGTTTTCACCAAAACCCCCAACTCCTCTCAGATTTAGCAATAACCAGTTTGTTCTCTATATCTATGAGACTGTTTCTATTTTCTTAGTTTATTTTGTTCCACAGATTCTGAATGTAACTGAAATCATATGGTATATCTCTTTGTCTGAGTTATTTCGCTAAGCATAATACCCTCTAGGTCCATTCATATTGTTACAGATATACATAGTATATCTGTACCACTTCTTTATACAGTCATCTATTGATGGGCACTTAGGTTGCTTCCATATCTTGGTAACTGTTGTAAACAGTGCTGCAGTGAACACAGACTTGTATATACCTTTTTGAATTAGTGTTTTGGTTTTCTTTGGATAAATACCCAGAAATAGAAGTGCTAAGTCATAAGGTAGTTCTAATTTTAATTTTTTGAGGAACTTCCAAAATGTTTTCTATAGTGGCTGTACCAATTTGCAACCCCATCAACAATGTATGAGGGTTCCATTTTTTCCACATCCTCACCACCACTTGTTTTTTGATTTTTTGGTGAGAGCCATTCCGAAAGATATAAAGTGATATCTCATTGTGGTTTTAATTTGCATTTCTCTGATGATTAGTGACACTGAGAATCTCTTCATATGTCTATCGGCCATCTGTATGTCCCTATGGAGAAATACCTATTCGGTTCTTCTGCCCATTTTTATTTGTTTGTTTATTTTTTGGTGTTGAACTGTATGAGTTATTTATAAATTTTGGATATTAACCCCTTATAAGATGTATCACAGGCAAATATTTTCTCTCATTCAGTAGGTTGTCTTTTTGTTTTCTTGATGGTTTCCCCTGATGTGCAAAAACTTTTTAGTTTCATGTAGTCCCATTTGTTTGTTTGTTTGTTTTTCCTTTTGTTTTCATTACCCAAAGATAACAGAAAACAATATTACAAAGAGCAGTGTCAGGGTCTTTACTGCCTATGATTTCTTCTAGTAGTTTTATGGTTTCAGTTCTTATGTTTAACCTTCTAATTTATTTCGAGTTGATTCATGTATATGGTGTAAGAAGGTGGTCTAGTTTTCCCAACACCATTTATTGAAGAAACTTTCATCACCCCATTTTATATTCTTGGCTTCTTTGTAATATATTAAATGATATAGGTGTGGATTTATTTCTGGGTTCTCTATTCCATTCCATAGATCAATGTATCTGTTTTTATGCCAGTAGTATGCTGTTATGATTACTATAACCTTGTAGTATAATTTAATATAGGTAACATGATACTTCCAATTTTATTCTTCTTTCTCAAGGTTGCCATGGCTATTAGGGATCTTTTAAGGTTTCATTTAAATTTTTGGATAATTTGTTCCAGTCCATTGGAAAATGTCATTGGTATTTTGACAAGGATTGCATTTAACCTGTAGATTGCTTGGGGTAATATGAACATATTAATGATGATAATTCTTCCTATCTACGAGAACGGTGTATGCTTCAATTTATTTCTATCTTCTTCTATCTCTTTTTTTCAATGACTTGTAATTTCCCCAGTACAAATCTTTGGCCTCCTTAAATTTATTCCTTGGTATGTTATTATTTTTGATGTATTGTAAATGAGATTTTCTTCATTGGTGTGTAAAAATGCAACCAACTTTTTTTTTTTCATCACCAAATATTGGACCCCCTTTACTCCTATCTAACTTTTCCCTCCTTCCCTTCCCACTGTTAACCAGTAATCCACTGTCCGTGTCCATGAGTCTCTGTTTGTCTGTCATGTTTGTTTGTTGTTTTCGGTTTTATATTCCACATATAAGTGAAATCATATGGTTCTCAACTTTTTCAGTCTGACTTATTTCGCTTAGCATGATAATATCAAGATCCATCCATATTGTCACAAATGGCAATATTTTACCTTTTCTTATGGCTGTGCAATATTTCATTGTAGATATATACCACATCTTCTTTATCTAATCATCTACTGAAGGACACTAGGTTGTTTCCATGTCTTGGCCACCATGAATACTACTACTATGAACATCGAGATTGCATATATCTTTGTAAATATTTTGGGTAAATATTTACAAAGTATTTTGGGTAAATATCCAGAGAGGAATTGCTGGGTCGCATGGTAATTTTATTCTTAACTTCATGAGGAACCTCCATACCGTTTCCCATACTAGAGATATCACCAGCACTGCATGAGGGTTCCTTTTACCTCACAACCTCCCTAACACTTCTTATTACTTGTCCTGTTGATGACAACCATTCTAACAGGTGTGCGGTGACTATCTCATTGTAGTTTTGATTTGCATTTCCCTAATGGCAAGTGAAGCTGAGCATTTTTTTCAAGTTAACCATTTGTATGTCTTCTTGAGAAAAGCATCTGTTCATGTTCTCTGCCCATTTTTTAACAGGATTCCTTTCATTTTGAGTTGTATGAGTTCTTTGTATATTTTGGACATCAGGCCCTCACCAGAGGTGTAGTTTGCAAATATCTTCTCCCATTTGGATGGTTGTCATTTTGCCTTGTCAATGGTTTCTTTTGCTATGCAGAAGCTTTTTAGTTTGATATAGTCCCATTGATTTATTTTTGCTTTTACAACTCTTGCCTTTGAAGTCAGTCATAAAATCTTCTCTAAATCCAAGGTCCATGAGTTTAGTACTTATGTTTCCTTCTATGTGATTTATTGTTTCTGGTCTCATATTCAAATCTTTGATCCGAGTTGCTATCGGTGTATGGTGACAGATAGCAATTTAGATTCATTCTTTTGTAGGTGGCTTTCCAATTTTTCCAGCACCATTTATTGAAGAGGCTTTCCTTTCTCCTTTATAAGTTTTTGGACAAAATTATTTGCCCATATAGACAGAGGTTTATTTCTGGGCTTTCAATTGTTTCATTGGTCTGTGTGTCTGTTTTTCTGTCAATACCATGCTGTTTTGATGACTTTTGCTTTTTAGTATAATTTGAAGTCAGAGTGATACTTCTACCCTTGTTCTTTTTTCTCAAGATTGCTTTGGCTCTTCAAGGTCTTTGGTGTTTCCATACAAATCTGATGACTTTTTGTTCTATTTCTTTTAAAAATGCCGATGAGATTTTGATGGAGATTACATTAAATCTGTATAATGCTTTAAGTAATGAGGTCATTTTAACTATGTTGATTCTTCCAATCCATGAACACGAAATATCTTTCTATTTCTGGGTGTCTTCTTCATTTTCATTTAATAATGTCTTATAGTTTTCAGTGTATAGGTCCTTCACATGTTTTGTTAGGTTTATTCCTAGGTATTTTATCCTGTTTGTTACAAGTGCAAAAGGAATTTTTTCTCATTTCTTTTTCAGAAAACTGTTAGATTGTAAGAATGCTATGAATCTTTGAACATTGATTTTGTATTCTTCAATGTTACTGTATTTGCTTATTGTTTCCAGTAATTTTTTAGTGGATTCTATAGGGTTTTCTATATAGAGAATTATATCAATCTGCAAAAAGTGACAGTTTGACTTCCTCATTCGCTACTTAGATAACTTTTTCTCCTGTCTGATTGCTCTAGCTAGGACTTCCAATACTATATTAATAGTGGTGACATTGGACAGCCTTGTCTTGTTCCTGATTTTAGATGGAAGGTTTTTAGTTGTTCTCCATTCTGTATGAATCTAGCTGAGAGTTTGTCATATATGGTCTTTACTATTTGGGGGTTCTTTCCTTCTATACCCATTTTATTGTTTTAATCTTAAATGGATACCATATATTTTGGATACCAAATGCTTTTTCTGCATCTATTAATATGATCATATGGCTTTTCTTCTTTATTTTATGTGGTATATCACAGTAATCGATTTGTGTATGTTAAACCATCCCTGCGCCCCTGGGATGAAGCACAATTGATTGTGGTGTATACCCTTTTTAATGTGTTGTATTTGACTTGCTAGTATTTTGTTTATGAATTTTTCATCTCTAGTCATGGTCTATAGTTTGTGTGTGTGTGTGAGTGTGT